GTATCACAGGGCTATTTTTCGAAAACGTCGTCCGTGGGATTCGAACTCTAGACCTGCCATCTGGGGGTGCGACAACTTCACCACTTCACTAAGTCGCCACACCCTTAAGTTAAAATATTATATATCTTAATAAAAATTATTAGATATACTATTTAAAATATAATACTTGAAAATTTTTACCTTTGCATATTCTAAGTTGAATGCATAAAATTATTTGTAATACTAACTATTACTACTTTAATAACTATATAAAGCCAGTATCTTTTCTTAATATTTATTAGATTTAGATATCTATCAATATCGCCTTCTTGCAATTACTATGTCTACAACACTCTATATAGTTATTAATTCCTCTTCTGAGTTTTCTTTAGAGGACACTCAATACTCTAAAAAAACTGAAAAGCTCATTAATAACTCTAAAGAAAGATCAAAAAAGTGAAAATTTAAATCTCTTCAAAAGACTGATGATGATCTCAAAACACTCAAGTCTTGTAAAATATGCAACAATATATAGGATAAAGATTTTTTGCAAGCCAGCAAAAAATCTTTTTATTTATCTATTAAGTAGCAACACATAGATTCTTTGAATTATGATTTGTTGCAGTTGATCATTATTAGCCAGCTACTATTTACACTAGTCGAAGAAGATTTATTTAAAAGATTTGTCTTAAAACTTGATCCATATTATAAGCTTCCTTGTTGTCACACTCTCTCTTCAAATATAAAAGAACAATTTAATTCTGCAAGAGTAAAAATTAAAAAAGCTTTAAAAAAAATTAAAAATAAATTGGTGCTAATCTTAAACATCTGAACAGTATATGCCAAGTCTTTTCTTGCTCTTACAGTCCATTAGATCGATAATAAATAGACAAGAAAAGCCTTTATTCTAGACCTTATTCTTTTGCAAGAAACCTATACTGATAAATATATTAATGAAAAGGTTCTTAATATTGTTAAAAAAATAAGAATAAAGGAACAGTTAATTGAATTTACCAATTACAATGTAGAAAAACAAGTGTATTAATACTTTTTTCAAAGATCTATAAACTCTAACCTTAAGTATGTATATTATGTGGCAAGCATCATTGACCTTATAGTTCAAGCAGGTCAAAAATATTATTTTAACCTAATTCAAAAAGCTTGTAATTTTTGTAAAAAAATAAGTCCATCTTTAATCTTGAAGGAATTGAAGAGAATTTCAAATATTCTAGGCAATATTTTTTTTTTACCCAGTGGTTGATATTGAGATTTCTACCTATTCAATGCTTAAGAGTCTTAGTCAAATTCAAGCCGCTAATGGTGGTCTTATGTTATCTCAACCAAGTTTAAAAAATGATTACCTAGAAGCTAACGAGTGGGTAATAATAAAAAAAATTGTACAACTTCTTGAACTATTTAACACAGCAACCATATTTTTTTTGAGTACTTTACATTCTTCCCATAGGTCATTGCGACTAATTATCTAAGGATTTTCAATATACCTTAATCAGTATCTTTTTATTGACACACATCATGAAGCAGCTACAAAAATGAAAAATAAACTAAGAGAGTATTGGACTTATCTTAAGGAATCCTCTGCTATTTCTACACTCCTCGATCCATCTAAAAAATTTGAAATATTTAATACAATTAACTGTAAAATAGCTATTAATAAGTTAAAAGCCCTTTGTAGTGCTCGGCAAAATCAAACAAAAACTCGATTATTGAGTTTTTGAATTTATCGATTTATAGTATTGTGCTTTAATTATAAAATCTATATTTACTCTTATCTGATTTTAAACTTCATGCTAGTTACTATGAAGTCTAAAGTAAGATCGGATTCCTGTTATATTTATATATATACTAAAAATAAAATTTGTATTTAATGCACAATAT